TAAAACATGTTGCAGTTCGTGTCACTAGGAACTGTCACGCACAGCAGGACGCGTGATAAACCCCTCTGAATGGTAATATGCATGGAACGTAAATGAATACTGCTGCTGCAAATTGCAAAAACTGTCAACCGGATTAGGAACTGTATTTCCACAGCGTTTCTTAAGAAAAACGACCGTTCAGCACAGGTCTCATTTTTTTTGCATTGCCAAGTAACTGGAGACGTGTTGCACACGTTTTGTTGCGTCTAAACAAGTAAACTGAACTTTCGCTTGATGAGCTGGCACAAAGTTCAAAGCTATATTCAACTCATAATACCGGGCGAATAATTTTCATAAACTGAACTTCAGCACTAGCTAGTAAGCGAGTTCCATGCCATAGTAATATTAACGTGAACTTGTAGCGATAACACGTGTGCCGCCATATGCGACTGGCTTATTTTTGTAAACAACGTGATTGTGATTTTGAGCACGTGGTAGTCGCGGAACTGCAGTGATTTTTTAAACACAGAAAGGTTAACAACCTCCACGGACAAATGGACATGCAAAACGGTCAGTTATTTGGCACTGCCACCCAGCTGAGCATATCTCATAGGAGTTATCAGCCTGCAAATACCTCATGTACCTCATGCCGACCAGAAATGTCCTAAATGTAATGGGAAAGAGGGCGATAATCCAGTCCGGTCCGCTTCGCGGAGCTGCCGGCTTGCATTAGGCAAGAACCTACCATCTGGTGACGAAGTTTCAAATGCAGAAGTACGACGAGGACGAAAAAACTCATCGGGCTGAAGTCGAAATGTCAAATGAAGAACTGCGTTGTGTTCGCATTGAAGTTCGCTCGTTCGCGGTCTAGTTGTCACTTCAAGAATCAGAAAATGATACAGTAAGTTGGTTCATGATTATCACTTTCATAGCACCGGTAGTTCTGTGGCTACGAGGTAAATTTCTCCTCTTATTGAATGGCGATCAGCGTGAAATATGGACCCTAAGCCTGGAGGCTATTCATGAATTGCAGACTACACAACGCCGTATGAAAAGATATGCTGTTAATAGCAAGAAGAGATAAGAAAAAGAATGAATGGGTCACAGCTAAAACAAGAGTAGGTAGGCGATGTCACTGCCTATGCGAAGAATTTAGAGTGGCAATTCGCAGGACAGATCACACCCTACCATGCATGACCAGGGTGACTTTTGATTGGATTCAAAAAATATGCATAAAATTTAAGTTTTAAGGTTTTAAAATTCGCAAACATTTTAATTCATTCTGAGTGCCTAAATATCTTTGACACTTTTTTTGAAGACATTCTACCCACTACAAAAAGTACTACTGCCACTTCAGTGACGTCATGCAAAGATCTCCTTGCTCAGATGAAACACGAACAATCATCGACTTCTCATCGGACAGAAGAGGCAAATACAATCCCTTATTAACTTGAAGTTACTCGTCCTTTGATGCACATATGAAAGCAGCAGTGGCGCATGCGTCACTGTTTTGCAGTATTCTTCGTTTACTTTTCTTTTTTTATATTTACTTAGAGCTATCTCGAGCACAAGGACTCTGTGATAAGTACAGTAATGGCTAAACCTGAATCTGGAAGTGGTTAAGTCTCCTTAAGGTCGATATGCACGACTAGCAGCGTAGTGCGAGCCACTCTTTTAAGGCGGTAAGCAGTTTCACTGCATAACTGAAAATCGTGAAAAAAATAGTACAATCTAGTTTTCAAGTGCATTATCCCAGTTGCAAAATTCGCTTATTTGATATAAGATTAGTCAGAAGAAGTGAAAGATTGAGTCAGACTATCTACCTTCCCTCTGTTTTGTATCTTCCTTCTGAATCACCCCCAGCCTACGTTTGAAAATACCCTCGGCTTATCAGAAAGCTTGGTTTTGCGTTTTGCCTCTTCTTTTCCTTTCATTTGTTTTTCCAGCCTTTTTAAATGACGTGTGAATGATTCATCACTCGTTTCACCGAATGCGATCATACGGCACATTGCCTTCTCACAGCGTGCAGTTTCTAAATAACGTCAGTTGTGTGCCCGTGTGCCATCTTTCATGCTGAGCCGACGCCGAAAGCGTAGGCAACTAATTTTCATAATTTCGTTTTTTATCTTATAAAATTGTGGAACCTTACCAAAATGTCATCAGCCGACCAAATCAAAGGCCTTTCGCCAAATGCCAGCTGTCGTCGTCTGACACAGATAATTGTTGTTCCAAAATCTCGATTGCAACAGGATGAACTGCGAGAATAATGCATGTACGATACAAAACAGAGAACATTCAAAAAATGAGAAAATGAAGGTAGTGATTTTGAGGTGTGAAGACGCTCTAAATCAGTGATTCTCTATTGGAACTGGACGAGGAATCCGCTTTAATGGTTCAATGCTAAAATAAAGTTGGAGCTATTCAAGAGGCTGGACAATGATAAGTTTAAAGCAACCAATCATTGACTATCTCGATGGAAGTATAAGTATCAGATTAAATTTATGAAAGCACATGTGAAAAAGACAGTGCGGAAGAATGGAAATCCAAGAAAGTACTCGAATTGCTTCAGAATTTTTGCGAAGATGATATCTACAATGCTGACGAAATACGCCCATTTTAGTGCGCTACGCTGGATCATTCTCTCCACGATAATCAGGTAAAGTTGTCGAACTGTAAGAAAGCAATGGATCTCATAACTGTGCTATGTTGTTCAAACATGTCAGGAACTGATAAAAAGAAGCTGTTGGTTATTAGGGGGAAAGTGCTAAGCCTCGATGTGGCTAAGATGGGAGAGTTTACTGGGCGATAATTCTGCTAATTAGAATGCATGAATGATGAACCGAAATTTAAAAAAATGGTTAGTTAGGTAAGATGTAGAGTTAGAGCGGAAAATAGAAAGATTCCTTAGATTCTTGACAGTTGTACGGCACACCCTCAGCTCAGGACGTTTAAAAACATCCGGCTAAAATTTCTGTATGCCAGCACAATATCTTCAGTGCAGGCAATGGATGTGGGAATCATAAATAATTTAAATTGTCGTAGCGCGGAAAATGGATGAACCACATACATGCATGTACATATACCCGCACATACACAAACTTGGAGGGAAAATCAACGCATTCATCAGATGGCAAGAAATGGTACCAAACGCACCTCAAACAGTTACTATCACTGTAGCTGTTTAAGACCAAAATACGTAAAACTTTATTCGTAAGCAACAACAGGGTAAGTATGAATAACAGCTAAGTATAATTCAACACGGGTCGGTTGCCTCTGCGACCACATTAATCGCATTTGAGCTAATTCTCGATATTAAGGCCATCGTGATATCCTTGGCAATAAGCTTGCTTGCGCACAAGGCTTCAAGGCATTCGTCAGCTTCTCGATCTACCTCCATGTTTTCTGTATCGAGGGGTGCTTGGCCGCAAAAACATGTCATGATTATGAGTCTGGGTTTGAACGGTGCGTCATTTGTGTCGCAATACGGATGAAGGATGCGAATCGCGTCCCCGGTCAAATTGGCAATATCCTCAATGACAACTGCGCTGGAACTTGTCAGAGCTGCCTTAAGCCTCTTGTCTAGCAACAATCTGAGGGTGGAAGCGGAGAGATGATCGTACTGGCTACAGTTGATCGTGCTCGCAGGTAGCCGTGGATACACCAGATCGCTGACCATCTCGGCGACCTCTAACGTGAGGCAGTATGAGGTTCTACGGGCACCGTCTCCATAAATCGCCAATACGACCGACGGCTGTCGGCACAGTGGATAATCGCGCAACATCGCTTTAACAGCGACTTTTAACACCGACCAGGTGCGGGCAGTTTGCGCCGGAAACCGGCTCTGTAGTTCGAGGAACCGATCGTTGATTTTTTGGCCGCTGTAGCTATACCTCTGCTCGGTCCAAAGCCTCACGGCATAGTTCAAAATATACCCTCTGCACGCGATCAACACCAGACCTCCGAAAACGCACAAACAAACAGCAGTCACTATCCAGTGCTGATCGAAACGCACTAAATCGAGATAATCTGCACAACTAACAGTTCGGCTTCGGTCCGGTACCAATCGAGACGTTTCCTCGCCACTGAACGACTCGGACGTGCTGTGTTCACGCGAGCGACAATGTCGTGATGAAGAACGATGACGACGACCATCATTAATGCTTCGGCAGTTATGCTTCTCTGCTAAACAGGACAACGAGCTGGAAGAATCTATCGAGTCGTCACTGTCACTTCGATCCGAATTTACAGCATGGTTCATGAACTCGCGTGTCAAGCTAGGATATAGTCTCCGTTTACGGTTGGACATCTTTACTACCGCTAAGCACAATCAAACTTTCCGAATTCCTGCACTGATTTCATTTTGAAACTAAACCATCAAAAACCGAATCTTTTCAAAGACTATTATCGCATCTTTTTATCCGTCCACGACCTTACACAGACAGACCTTATACAAATTTTTCTAACATAATCATTCAGCGCTGTTATATTAATACAGTAACAGCAGTCGATTTTCAGGTTTGTATTGCAAAGTAATACCGTAGTCTTGAACTTAGATGCCCTTCTTGGTGACTTCTATCAATTCTCGTTTGTCAGGAGGATCAAGGGAAAGTGTAGCGATAAAGCGCACAAATCAGACTCAAAATTAAAATCAGATCATGACTGACTTAAAGCTTCTGTGGCAATCATTCGATGATTGCATTTTTCCCATGCCTAAAGGAAACCTGATTTAAAAAAGGCGATGATGGGCAAACGATTCAACGTGCAGATTTGATCCTCATCTTGAGCCAGTTTCACTTTTTAGCGTGCTGGAATGTTCAGACAAAAGTGATATTAGTGTTGTGTTGAAATGAAGACCGAAGAGTAGCTTCACATAAGAACCGAGGCTGCTGTAGTTTCATTCCTTCTAATGGCACAATTGATTAACATAGGATCTTCTAAGATTCTTTTCCTGATTTTCGTGCCCAAAATGTCGCCCTAAACTGATAACAATTCTATTTGTAGAATGGTGCGTTCTG